GAGTTAGTACCCTGAATTAGGAGCTCTGGTAGCATAGTGCCTAAGGCACTTGACCACTAACCAGAAGGCTGGTGGTTCAAAACCACCAGCCACTCCTTGGAAGGAAGGTTGGGCAATCCTACTTCTGTAGTGATACTGCCTTGGCCACCCAGGGAGGGGTCACTATGAGTCGGGGCCGACTCGACGGCACATAACAACAACAACAGTACCCTGAATTGAAACTTCTAGCCTCCTAAACTTTGAGAGAATAAATTTCTGTTTGTTAAGGCCATCCATCCACTCATGGTATTTCCATTATAGCAGCACTAGATAACTAAGACATTGTGATTTTAGAATTCTTTAGAAAATCAGTGTAACACAAAAGTTAAAACACAGGGTTCTAAAACATCAAAACGTGACAACTGGGAGGGATTTAGATGATCTCTAGGCCAGTTGGCTCACTTAAATAGAGGAAGTTACTTTTTTGGAGTAGCTTGTTAAACCAAAACCAAACCCAACCCACTCCTATTGATTTTATTCTGACTCCTAGTAACCCCCACTGGGTTTTCAAGACTATAAATCTTTATGAAGATAGATTGCCTCATCTTCCTCCCATGGAGCAGCTGGTGAGTTTGAACTGCTGAACTTCTGGTTAACAGCCAGATGTCTTACCCACTACACCACCAGAGCTCCTTGCTTGACTGTTACATGCTTGATATTTTGATTTGCTAGGTCAGTGGTTCAAACCTACCACCTGCACCATGAGGGGAAGATGAGGCAGTCTACTCCCATAAAGATTTACAGCCTTGGAAACCCAGTGAGTTGGAATTGACTCAATGTGACAGTGAGTTTGGGGACGATATAATTATACTGTTATGAAATTTGTTTTCCTCTGCAAAATGTTTTCCCCACTGTACAATACAGCATATAACTAGATTATACTTTCAGCCTTTGCTGTGTTTAAGAATCCTTGGCCTTTTTTTGCCCCCCTCATATAATACATGTATCGAGCACCTAATGACAATATCTCAGAAGGAAGATTGGGTGATCTACTTCTGTAGTGATACCACCTAGGAAATCCAAGGAGGGATCGCTATGAGGCGGATCCGACTCCATGGTAGTAAGTTTGGTTTGGTTTTTAGTAATGACAATATGGCAGTCTCTGTGTAGTGCAAATGGTTAAGTGCTCAAATACTAGCCAAAATAAAGGTTAGTAGTTTGAACCCACCTAGAGGCATGTTGGAAGAGAGGGCTGGCAGTCTGCTTTCAAAAGGTCATAGCCTTGAAACCCTAAGGGGTCAGTTCTGCTCTGCATCCATGTGGTCACCATGAGTCACAATGGATTTAACAGCAACCAGTGACAACAGCAACAATAATAATGCTAACATTAATGTAGTGCTGAGCATGGGCTTAGCATTTTATACTTTTTTGAAAGTGAAGTATAACTTATTTGTACCTTAAGGGTATACCTTCACAAATTTTGATATACCAATTCTAGTTCAAGATATGGAATATTTCTAGCCCCCTAGAATAGAAATCAAATGTTTTCTATAACACATCTGATAGCAAATATTTTAGGCTCTGCAGGTCATACAGTCTCTGTCTCAGCTATTCATTTCTGCCTTAGTAAAACAAAAACACACATAGACAATACAAAATGAAGAGAGGGAAACAAATTCAATATAATTTTACTTAACTGGATTTGGTCATGGGCCAGAGTTTGCTAAACTGTGCCCTAGAAAGTTCCTGGGTGGGCATTTTACATTTATCCCTCCCAGTGACTTTATTGAGGTATAATTGACATACAATAAACTACATAATTTGATGTTTTAACATTTGTATACACTGATGAAACATCACTATAATCAAGATTATAAACATTTCCATCTCTCCCAAAGGTTTTCATCTTGCCGCTTTGTAATCCATTCCCCTTCCTTTCCTGAGGCAACTACCAATCTACTTGCTGTTACCATACACTGTAGTTTCCATTTTCAAAATTTGTATATTATTTCTCTGTCCTCATTCCTTTCATCCTGCTCTTCCCTTCCCTCCTTCCGTCCTTCCCTTCTTACTTGACCTCCTTCCATCTCTCTTTCGCTTTTCTTCCCTCTATTTCCTTCCCTCCCTCTACCCCTCATCTAGCGTCTTTCACTCAGCATAATGGTTTTCTGATTCATCCATGTTATTGCTTGTATCTGTAGCTCTTTTTTTTTTTTTTTTTTCCTATTATGGAACAGTATCTCACTGTATAGATATCGTTTATCCATTAATATATTGATTGACAGTTGAATTGCTTCCAGTATTCAGCTATTAAAAATAAAGCAGCTATGAACGTTCATGTATATGTCTTTGTGTGGCATATGCTTTTATTTTGTTTAAATACCTAGGATTGGGACAGATCGGTTGTGTGGTAGATATATCCTTACTTTTTTGAGAACTTACCAAATTATTTTCCTAGTGCTTTACTGTTTTACATTCTTATCATCAGTTCCACTTGCTCCACATCCCTGTCAACACTTGGTATAGTCAGACTGTTAAATTTTAGCCATTTTAGTGGATATGAAGTAGCATCTCATTGTGGGTTAAATTTCCATTTCCCCAATTATTAATACTGTTGAGCATCTTTTTCTGTGTGAGTTTGTCATTGTGTACATTTTTTGGTGAAGTGTCTGTTCCAGTCTTTTGCTTACTTTTTTATAGGTTTATTTTCTTATTATAGCATTTTGAGAGTTTTTAATATAGTCTGGGTACAAGGCTTTCAGCAAATGTTAGACTTGTAATATTTTCTCCCATTCTATGCCTTTTCTTTTCATTTTAACAGTATAATGCCATTAGTGTGGTAGTTATAAAGCACACTCTCTGATGTCAAGACTGTGAATGAATTTTGAATCTTAGTTGTAGGACCTATGGAAAATCAGATATTTCTAAGTTTCAAGGTGTTCCTCTAAAATTCTTCGCCATATATATTTCTTGTTCTTATATGCTTTACCAGAAAATTTATATGATTAAAAATTTTAGTATGATTTAGTATTATTGGTAAAAAGAAATATTTTTGGGGATTTACAGATGATTCCCAAAGGAATGGTCACTAAAGCTTAATAGCTCGTTATGACTTTTTATGACTTTTACAAGTTTGGTGCCCCACCTTCTTTTATTAATGAAAGGTATGGCCCAAAGGTATACTTTCTCATAATTATGTTACAGTCTTATAATCTAGACTACCTTACTAAGGCTAATTTGTCTTGTTACTATCATCATTTCATATTTAATCATTGAAATTCATGAAAGTGGAAATGGTAGTATGTGCTCTCTAGTTGAAACTGAAATAGGAACCACTTTAATGCACCTACATGGTCTTTTTACAGAATAGCAATAACTGACTTTGAATGGTTGGTATGTCCTCTGTGAGCATGCCCTGTGTGGTTATTAACTGTATATTTATGGAAAAATGACACAATGCTAACTTTTTATAATTGTTAACATTGTGACCAAATAAACCGAGCAGATTTATATTACTATATATATATATATATATATATATATATGAATATGAGAATGGAGTTTTACTTTTTTTGAACTTCATATCTTACAGTCTGTTATAAGAAAATTCAGACTTTGGGATTATCACAGTAGAGCTTCAGATAAACTCATATGAGGTATCACAAAGCAATTCAACTTTAAGGTCATCCACTTAAGTTTGAAATTCTATTCTACTTCCATCATCCCATCAAGCAGTATTTAAAATCATATGATGAAATTTTGGGGGAGAAGGCATTTTATATTTTTGGGTAGCTTTGCATTTGTTACTATCAGCAAAATACAGGTAAAAGTTATTTTTCATCATGTATTTTAATAGGAAGTATCCTATCATAGCATCTTAAGTTTGCATTAATCATCAATCATATTTCCTTTACATTCTAGTCACTACTTTGACAACCTGAATTCAGACCACGAGATAGTTGAGAATGCCTGACACCATAGTTCCATAAACCTTGTGACAGTCAGAGACCTGGATTCTAGTCCTGTCTCCTTTCTCAGTGCTGCTGTAATCCTGACCAAGCATCCTTTTGACTGTTTTTTTTATCTGTCAGATGAAGATTAGGGCCCTTTATACATCAGAGATCAGTATGATACCAGCTAGTAAGAGAACATTTGGCAAAGTCTGATATGATCAGTAGATTTTTTTTTCTTTAACCAAAGCATCCAACCAAGTTAAATTATTTAAAAGGACAATGCTATTTGAAGAACTCTTCAACTGACCGTTCTTATAATAATACAACCATTCAAACTGCTTTTTATATAAGTAGGGCAGTCTCACATATTGAGTCGGAGTCTGTGCAGGCTAGAGATGTGAAGGAAAGATGAATTGAGGACATGAGCCACCCTCATCTCATGACCAACCGTAATCTTTTTGACTAGCTCTTTACCCACTGTGCTTATCTTCTTCCTGTAACTTCATTTTCTTCTATTTTCATCCTTTTCCCTCCACTCTCAGCTTTCTTACATCCTTTACTACTTCTCTTAGAACAAGGGAAGTTGTTGTTGTTGTTGTTATGCGCCGTCGAGTCGGCCCTGACTCATAGCGACCCCTCCTTGGGTTTCTGAGGCAGTATCACTACAGAAGTAGGATTGCCCAGCCTTCCTTCCGAGGAGTGGCTGGTGGGTTTGAACCACCAGCCTTCTGGTTAGCAGTCAAGTGCTTTTAGCCACTATGCTACCAGAGCTCCTAGAACAAGGGAAGAGGAGGATAAAATGAATGAGTAGATTGTGTTAATGTTTATGGAGAATGAGTTGTGTGTGCACAGAACGCAAAACTAGTTCATTGTATTCCCAGACCTTGTGACCAACACTTCTGTTTTTTGGGTCATGGATGTATGTGGATGTTGTTAATCACACTCATTGATATTGCTATAGAATGAAGAGATTTGCTTATAGCATTATTCTTAACATCAAAGAGGTTATATCTAAACGTAGATTCTGTCTGAATTATGATTCTTTAATCTCTTATTATTTCTTTCTAGGACAGGAGCGATTTGGCAACATGACCAGAGTATACTATAAAGATGCTGTTGGTGCTTTCATAGTCTTTGATATATCGAGAGGTTCCACATTTGAGGCAGTCTTGAAATGGAAGACTGATCTGGATAGTAAGATCCATCTTCCTAATGGCAGCCCTATTCCTGCTGTCCTCCTAGCTAACAAATGTGACCAGAAAAAGGAGGATGGCCATAGTCCTCCCCAGATGGACCAGTTCTGCAAAGAACATGGCTTTAGTGGATGGTTTGAAACATCTGCCAAGGTGAGCTCTGCTTTACTTTTTGAACCTGCTGTGCTATTTAGATTATAAATTTGAGCTCTAATTATAATGTGTTTTGATGGATTCATTCAAGTGGGTTTTGGAAGCCTGGAGTATGTTATGCTTCTTTTAGTCTGTAACAGCAGTGCTTTCAGAATTGGCCAACGGGGAGGTCAATACAAGGGCAGATTTGTTGTTAAAACAAAAACGAGATACTTAGTTAGAGCAGAGGGAAAAAAAAATGACATTTTCTGTGAGTTTGAGTGTTTAAATGCTACTGGAGTTGACAAAGGTGAGATGTATTATGTAGCACAAACATTTTTGATTTTTATAGACTATTAACGGGATGGGAGGGAGTGTCTCTGGTGAAGATGTAGGTTCCCTGCAGGACTAATGAAGGCAATGAAAAGGTCACAGAGTTATTCAAATGTTGTCTGAAGAGTATTAGATTAGCTGAATGTGAAAGAATTTGAATAAGGGGAAAACATTAACATTTGTGACATTCTTCTTCATGAATAAAAGAGTGAGAATTTTGGGGGGTTTTGGGTTATTGTCCTTGTCCTTTATGGAAGCTAGATAAAATGTTTTTTGAATTGTTTTTCTTGTGTGTCCTGAAAACAGAAGACTTACATTGGTTATCAAAAACCTTAACAGTCTAGATGTATAAGAACACAGTGGACACTCACAAGTACAAAATGCGAAGGGAGATGTTTGTTTTTGTGTTTTGGAAGTTTCACATAACAGGGTCAAATAACCTTCACACGTATATGTAAGCATGATTAAGTGTTTCAGAAATTCTGTGATGGTGAACAGCGCTCAGCCAGAAGTTGAGCATGATCTTAATCCAGTGCCAGCTTTCAGTATGCTTTCTGTGCCCATACGTATGCTGTTGTTAGTTGCCACTGAGCCAAATTCTTACTCCTAGGAACCCAATAGGACAGAGTAGAATTGCAGGATTTCCAAAGTTGTAAATCTTTGTGGAAGCAGACTGCCACATCGTTCTCTGAGCAGCTTGTAGGTTTGTGCCTGTAATTTTTCAGTTAGCAGCCACTTAATCACTGTGTCACCAGGGCTCTTTCAGATATAGATCCCAAACCAGTTGCCATTGAGTTGATTCCAACTCCTAGTGACACTATGTGTGAAGAGCAGAGCTGCAGTCCATGGGGTTTACAGGGCTCGGACCTGATAGAAGAAGGTTGCGAGGCCTTTCTTCCAAGGTGCTTCTGGGTGGGTTTGAACCACCAGTCTTTTGCCTCTTCCAGATCATTTGCAGACTTACTACCAGGTTACTTTTAACTTTTACCAGAAGCACAGCATCACATTGAAAAAATTTAGTGCCACTGAAGATCAGGATAATGAAAGCAAAGCTATGAGAGACTGCACACAAAAAAAGCAGCTCTGAAAATACTGAGCGCAATGGTGATACCATTGGCATAAGAATGTCTGTTGGAGACAGAGGTGTCTACTCCTAAGCTAAAGGCCAATTCATTTAAATATATACGTTATAAAAGCCACACAAACAAAACCACAGCTTGTCCCATTGATTGTGACTCATAGTGACCCTATAGGACAGAGTAGAACTGCCCATGGGGCTTCTAAGGCTATAATCTTTATATTAGATGCAATGATGAGTCTCTCCTCATCCAGAATAAAGAACAATGAAGAAAATCAAAGACACATGGAAACAATTAGTCCAAGGGACTGGTAGACCATCCAATCCTCAGCCTACATGACCATGAGATCAGAAGAACTAGATAATGTCTGGCTACCACTGTCAACCACTTGGAGGGGGATCTATGCAGCAGATCCTGGATAGAATAGGAGTACAGTGTGGAACAAAACTCAAAATCATAAAAAAAAGACCAGGTTTGCTGGTCTGCTAGAGCCTGGTGAGACCCCTGAGACTGTGGCCCCTAGCTACCATTGAGGTCTGGAATTGAACTCACTCCTGTGGCTTCCTGCCGAAAAAATAGACAGACATATGGGCTGAACATTTACATCAGGTAGATACACTACTTGGAGTGATCATTCGTGGGAGAATAGAAGGTCAGTGTTTGCACAGGGAGACAGCTCAGGGGGTGAGAGTGCATGGGAGGGAAGGACACAGGGAAGAGCTAACTCTGGGGAGGAAGTGGGAAGAGAGCTGTTCCGTTGTGGGGAATTGCAGCCAATGTCATGAGACAAAATGTGTATGAACTGCTGTATGGAAGGAAAATGAATTTGCTCTGTAAACTTGCATCCAAATCACAGTAAAATAATAATAATAATAATAATAATAATAATAATGAGTGGATATAAAATTATTCATATTGATATGACAAGGGGATTGGACTTGTGTGCTCAGAAGAAAGTCGTGACAAGGGGGGCTAAACAACAAACAGCGATCCTTTGTAAAGAAAAGTGGGTTCCACTGCCACATTATTCAGTGGCATTGGACTCTTAGGACCAGACACTTTAACACTGGAAAAGAAGATGGTAGCTGGTATTCTTGGAGGCCATAGCCCCTGTGATGGACTTTCCGAGTTCCCACAAATATTCTTAATGCTTTCTCCTAGGAATTAGTACTAAACCCATTACTCATTTCTGCATTACAGGATAACATAAACATAGACGAAGCAGCCCGATTCCTGGTAGAGAATATTCTTGCAAACCATCAAAGCTTTCCTAATGAAGAAGACGATGTGGACAAAATTAAACTGGATAGAGATTGCTCGTCAAAGGGAGCGAGCACATCGCAGTGCTGCTAACACGCCAGATGCAGCCTGACTCGGGTCCGAGCGAATTCCTGAGCATGGATTCTGGATGATATGCTGCCTTGTGAATCTTCATACAAATGGCTCTTCACAGTGATAGCACCCTGGGAGCCTGTGCTCATTTAAACATGAGCCTTTCTGGGAAGTGTTCCTCCTAGTGGCTCTACAACTAACCAGATGAACACTTGACTTTGGTGGTGGTGGTTGCCATCATGTTGAGGATGATGTTACTTTTAACATCTTTAAAAATGGCAGTCCTTCAGGATTTGGTTGGACTTCCAAGTTGTAGCCTTTAGTGTAAGCCCTGGGGGTGGTAATAAAACTTTACTTGCTGTCTTCTGGTAATTTTTAATCTATATTCTTGTCTTTACATTCCACTTTGACTCTCAGTAGAGTGACTTGGACTTTGTTGACTCTGTTAGCCACAAGGGCTTGATGTTCCAGTGTAGCAATTTGTTTTTCTATTCAAAAATTTGTTCCTTTATATAAAATTGTTACCTTTGAATATTACAATTTAACTAGGCCTAGCTAGTTCTTGGATGTCTTTTGGACCAGGTCACTACCACTTGGGAACAATACATATTAGCATTTTTCTTTTGTCTCCCTAGTTCCATCTTTCCCCTCCTACGAGTTTATGTTTATAGCTGATATTACTGTCACAGTTATCTCTAACTAGAGCTAGTTTTTTTCTTTTGTTGTTTGTTTTAATCTGTAATGGTAGTGATCAAGGGGAGAATTTATTTCAAGGCATATACCATTAAATTTGAGATTCTGTAGCTCATGGATGGTTTTATATAAAGGTTTGGACATATAATGTACAATACCTGAGACACTTAAAGCAGAATCACAGTATTTGTATTACATTTAACTGAATTTTAAAAATAAATGTTTGGACTGAAACCTTTGTTTTGAGTTAATACAGTTCTAGAAAGGTAATATGGGGCATACTTTTCTGCCTTAGAAAACTGGTGTCTGTTCACTTTTGCCTCTTATTTTCAAGGGACTTAATGATGCATATAAAAGGTCAAATTTGTTTCTTTGAAAATAATTTAAAAGATCTTTGTGAAACAATCCAAAGTTAATGCAAAATGAGACTTTGACTAAGTTTTTCTATCTATTATGTGTGAACTTGGATACGAAAGATCCATTTATTCACTGAAAGAAGTTGTTGTTGGTATGTGCCGTTGAGTCGGACCCAACTCATAGCCACCCCTCGTTGGGTTTCCGAGGCGCTTATCACTATGGAAGTAGATTGCCCAACCTTCCTTCCGAGCAGTGCCTGATGGGTTTGAACTGCCAGCCTTCTGGTTAGCAAGAAATTAAAAAAGAGAAAGAAATAGCATGGAATTGCATTTCCTCAAACAGGTGTGTTCTAGTAATAAATAGTAGTTGCCATGGGCCATAAAATATAGTGTTCTCTTTTTACATTGTAACTAAGCCTTGCTTAGAAATGACAAATATGTTCTTATATAGTTAAATAAACAAACACTTCGACTTCTCTGGACACATAATCTAAATAGAATCAACCTGTTTGAAGTTAAATAAGTAGAAAGAAAACCCTGATTTAAGTTAACACTTATCATTAAAATAATATAACCCCTTTCGATTCTTTTTAAATATTTCATTAGATCTTGCTTTCTAAGAAACATAAGTGGCATACTCTAAATTTTGTCTTTTTTCCTTCCTAGATTTAAGTATAATTTTAACCTTTTTTTTCTCAAAAATACATTTTATTGAAATATAATTTATGTACAGTGAAATACACAAAACTAAAGTGACATGGGTAAATGCGTTTTTTTTGTTTTTTTTTTTGTAGCGTTCCCTCCCCTCTTTTTAACCTTTTTATATTCTACAGTCAAACAGTATTGTTGTTGTTACATGCCATCAAGTCAGACCCAACTCATAGCAACCCCTCCTTGGGTTTCCCAGGCAGTATCACTACAGAAGTAGATTGCCCCATCTTCCTTCCGAGGAGTGGCAGTATAAGTAGTATGAAATAGTGTCAAAATAAAAAATGTTATCAATATATCAATATAAAGCTTATTCCAGGAAGTCACCGAATAGTAAGACTGAAGTATGTTTGGAATTTTTTTTTTTTTCTTATTAGGATTTGGGTGAAGATTTAAAGAGTAAATTCACTTTTCATACAGCAGTTCACATATACTTTGTCTCATGTCATTGACCAAAATTTACAATGCAGCAGCTCCCCTCCCG